CCCAGCCCCTCTATGGTCCCGGCCTTGGCAGGGTTGGGGTCAGCCCTCCTGACCTGGTCCTCCCCCACAGCTGGACGCCAACGAGGCAGAGCCCGTGTTCGATGAGCGGGAGGGTGTGGACGAGTACAACGAGATGCCCATGCCTGTGTAGCCGCTGCTGGGATGGACAGCGAGGGACGGACGATGGACAGAGGGAACGGGCTGGGGTGCGCTCCCATCCCCTAGCCTCCTCATTTTTATTTAAGTGAATAATTTAAAGTCCCCTACTCCCCTACCCCTGCAGTAAAGTGCTTCGGCCCCCACCTATCTCCAGCCTTCTGTCTCTGTATGGGGAGCATGGATGAAAAAGAGGTGGGGGGACCCAGCTTGGTCCCCGTTCCAGAAACAAGATGTGCGAAGGGGAAGGAAAGGGACTTTAATGAACAAACACAGAGGGAGCCAAAGTGCAAATTGTCCACCCCCCATAGGGGGGCAATGGTGAGCCCCATGTGTATCCCCTCACCCCCCTTCAGGCCCCCAGCGGAGGCCCAAGGCTTGGAGCTTCTGTCTCAGGTAGCTCTTGAGCTGGGGCAGGCCTCTCTGTGACTCCAGTTCCTCGAAGGGTAGCTGCGGGGAGAGGGCAGCAGGTTACCCACAGGCCCTGGGTGGGGGTTTGGGGATGCAGAGTCTCATGAAGGGCAGGGCAGAAGAGGCTCACCGGCAGGAGCTGGTAGCCCATTAGCCCCAGGTGCCGTTCCCGCAGGGCCCGTGAACCCAGCAGCACCCTGCCATCCCGGCAGAAGTGCCAGCGTTCCCGCAGCATCAGCACCACCCTAGAGAGAGAGTGAGCTGTGGCTCAGGGTCACCGTCAGGGCAGGGGAGGCCCTCCGGCCCTCTTCCCTTACCTTTGGACAGGGTCTCGGGTAGTGGGCTGAGAGGCAGCCTGGCCCCGGGGACAAGACCTGGGGGGGTACGGTAGGAAAGGGTCCTGGGTCCTCACGGGAAGCACAGCACCAGAGCTGCTGACACACAGCAGGAAGTCTGAAAGGCGGCAGGAGAGAAAGGGCCACTGGCTTTCAGTCCTAGCTCCATGTCAGCCGGCTGCCTGCCCACCCTCCTGGAGCTCACCTGTGCAATAGCCTGGAGGCACGGTCAGGTCTTGGCGGTATTTCTCCTCCCCCAGCAGCTGGCGCAGCCCCTCTGCCACTATATCCTTGTGACTGAGAGGGAAGAGGAACATTGATGGTGGGGAGGTCCAGGGAGTCTCCTAGCTCCATCCCCACTAGCTCCAAAGAGTCCCTGGGCAGATGCCCTTGCTGCCTCAAGGCCCATTTCTTATGACTGCTCAGTGTATCAGCCTAGATGAGTCCCGGTTCTCTGGCTTTTCTACTTTGCTTCTTCTGGGCTGGTCCCCTCCCGTCCCCAAGCTGCCCCATCCACCTGTACTTGCAGCGGGCACGGTCGGTGATGAGCGGCTGGGGGAAGATGGGCACTTGCTGCCTTCGGGGAAGGCGCGGACCCCGGTATCCTGGGAGCTCCAGCTCCACGGCCGTGTCCAGCAGGGAGAGGTAGCGCCGCACAATCAGGGCATGAGGGGTGCCTGCAGGCAAGGGGACTGAGGCTCGCTGGGCTGCAGACCCCCATCCCACTCTCCCCTGCCTGCCAGCCCTCCGGGTCCCAGCCAGTCTTCCTGTCTGCGCACCACTGACGTGGTTGATGAAACCTGGGGAAAAGACAAACTGCAGGGCTCGGAAGGGCAGGCACCGCAGCTGGCACAGTGACATCAAGATGTTGACAGTGGCTAGGGGGGCCACCCCTGCTTCTCGAGCCAGGATCCTTTCAAGGCAGGGCATAAACTGCTGTTCCAGGGGAAAGTAGTTCAGCCGCCCAAAGGGCAGGACCAGCTTCTGCACCACCTGTGAAGGGAGAGCAGCCATCAACTGCCCCGCAAGAAACAGTTTTCCAAAACCCTTTGAAGTGAGCCTCAGGGAGGCTTGGCCTGCAAGGCAAGCTCAGCACATCACTGCAAAGGCAGAACCACCCTCTACCTGAGGCACACCAGAAGTTCACGGCCTAAGCAGTGTCTTGAGCCCCATGCAATCAACCACCAAACAGGTGGAGACACTGCTGTGGGGCCCTGCCCTAAAGGCCTAGAGAAGGGGTGGGATCAATGAAGTTAAGAGCGCTGAGTGCTTGGAGGACTGCAGAGAAGCAGGCAGGTGCTGGGAGGTGGAGAAGCCAAGGTGAGAGGAGGGTGTGAGAAGGAACCCTGGGGACAGGGCCTGGCTGGACAGGGGCTGGGCCTGACTGGTGGCTGAAAAGCGTGGGAGGCAATCCCACCTTGCTGTTGAGCTGGGCTTCCTGGGTCACCAGGAAGTGGGCAATGGCTTCCAGAAGCTGGGGTTCCCGCAACCTGTGTCGGGCCAGGTGCTGGGCCAGGAGCACCATCACATGGGGAGTCAGTTCCTCTGGCCTGGCATCTGTGAAGAACAGCGTATCACGATGGACCCTCAGGCCAGACCCCCAGGCTAGTGTCCACCTTAGCCCAGACCCCACCACCTGCCTCTTCCTCAGCCCCTGACCCCCAACCTGCCTTTAACCCCCTCCAGCACCTGACAGGCTTCGGATGAGGTGCTGCCGTGGATGCCGCAGGAAATGGGGGCAGCTCAGAGCAGCTTCCAGCCTTTGCCCACCACGAAGGACAGGCTGCAGAGGAGGGGGAGGCTTCGGAGGGAGGCGGTACCTTCGCTCCCGCTCCAGGGCACATACCAGGGGCCCATCAGATGGGAAGCCTGAGACGGAGAGGGTCAGAGGAGGCAGTCCTGGTTAACAGGGAGCTGCTGCGCTCTGCTCCAGTCCTGGGCTTGTTAGTGGATCCCCAACCTCTCTCATCTCCATTTTCTGGGCTGGAAGATTTGCTATAGTGTTAAGTGGAAACACTAGTGAGATGTGAATACTGTGTGAACTAAGGAATCAGAACAGCTCGCAGGGAAAGCCTTATACAAAGATGGCAAATACGTTCCCATCTAGTGCTAATGGTGACACTGTGGTGGCCCCTAGAGCACTATGGTAGAAGGAATCTGGGGTAGCACCCTGGCCAAGCTGCAATAAATGCTGCCTGACTTCTGATGTCTGCTGTGCTTGTGGGGGAACAGCAGTGGGTCGGGGGGTATGGCCATTCCTGGCAAGGCCTAAGAGGTGAATTCTATCAGCGATCTTAGGTCCTCTACTGCTCTTCTCTACTATTCTTTCATTAACACCCACCCCCAGGCACCCTCCTCACCAAGTAAGGCTGCAAGGTGCAGACACACGTGGATGGTGTGAATGTCAAAGGAGGGGCAGTTTCGGATGATGAGCTGACTCAAGTCCTGCAGTGTGGCCTGCTCCACGGGAGGGGGCTGTGGCTGAGACCCCAAGAGCTGGCCCAGACGGCGAAGCGCCACAGGGTAGTGGTGGGCCCGCACCTTGGTAGGGTTCTGGCCCAGCCAGCGCAGCAGCTCCGCAGGGCTCCTCGCCTGTTCCAGGAGCCGCTGCAGCCCCCGCACGGGACCTGCATGGGGGCCTCCTCCAGGAGGCCGGTCCCCCCACTTGCTGGGCCCCAGACAGAAGCGCTGTACTGGCGGCAGCAGCAGCAGGCCAGACAGCCGAGCAGCAGAGGCCTGGGCAGCGCGCAGGACTCGAAGCATGGAGTTGGGTGACGGAGACCCTGAGGGGCGGCCCAGAAAAGGGGGTGAGGTTTTCTCCAGAGGGGAGAAAAGCCTGCTTGCTATCTACTCCTCACCTCACGCCCCATCCAGAGGGGGGCCTGGGGTCAGAGCAAGCCAGACTCGTGCTCACCCTTCTTGGTGACGGCTCTGGTCTTCTTCCCCACCCGCCCCTCTCTCTCTCTCTCTCTCTGCCTCCTTCCATCCTTTGAGACAGCCATCAAAATGCTGCAGTGTTCTCAGCGCAGGGACATTTACAAAGCAAGTCCACATGCATCATCTCCTCCGGCCCTCCTCGCACGCCCCGGAGGCGGGCGGCAGGGAGGGAGGCAGGCAGGGCTGGCATGACCTCGATTTCACAGGTGGAGAAACCCAGACCCCGAGAGGTGAAGGGGTTCCGGGAAAGCCCGAGGTCACGCCTCTGGTTAGTGGCGGTCGCGCCCCGCCTGGAGCCC